CAGTGTACTTTAACCCAGTTACTTTAACCCAGTAACTTTAACTTGGGTTAATTGCGGTGCAGAGGTGGACCAGGCTGTGGTGGACTTTGTGCCCTGGGCTTAGCGCAGGGGCAGAAACGGTGCCATTGTGAGCTGCTGTTTGCAATAGTAATGCATCCCCAGTGCCAAGGCACTGCCTTTTGGTAGCAAGAAGGTCACTTGGGACTAACCGAGAGCTGCCATTCAGTCGCAAGGTGGGAATATAAAAGACAGCCTCGCTAAGGCATTGCTCGCCTTCCTATGAGTGAAACCTTCCTGTTGAAGAACGCTGTGGGTCTGCGTGAAGAGTTTCATCAGTGCTTTGCATGTACAGAGGTTACTTTCATGCTCAAACTGATTTAGGGAGGCTTTTCTGAAAAAACGTAATTTCTGTCATTGTCACATTATTGCGTTCCTTCTGATTGTTTCAAGTAGAAACAGGAGAAATTTTATAATAGCCATTTCATCTGTGAGTAGTAATTTTATATTCAAATTTGCAAAATAAGAAACAGGCGCTGGAATCAAAACACTTTAGCAGAACCAGTAGAAAATGCTTTTAAATGACTGCATATGGAATTCATATTCTTTAGCTTTCAAAAAAGCAAGTTTTAGTTTTGTTTTGACAAACGAGGCCTGTGCATCATTTCACATTATACTTCTGGAAGAATCGGGTTTTGTAGCAAGAAATGCACCCAGAGTCTTGTGTGTCTTCTCTGCAATCTATGCTTCAAACATCTTTACTAGGAATAAAACTAATTTGAATGCAAATGTTAAATGAGCATTTAAATAATTCTTGGTTTTATGTAAACAAAGCACTTTTAAATTGCTAAGCAGTTAAGAATAGTTATTGGTAACCGCCTCCAAATTTGAGCAGTTCCCATATAGAAAATCCTTATTGAATTAATCAAAACAAATGCTTGTTGTCTTTTTTTCTGACTAATATCCAACTCTACACCATTTTGGGTCATGAGAAATTTTAACTATAATATTTCACTTAATGTCAATGGCTTTTTGGGTTTGCTGTAAAACAGAAAGTATATTGAATTTGAGCAATTTGCTTGCCCAAGAATTTCCTGAAGCTTACAATTTTCTGCTCAACTCTGTAGCTGCTGCTTGAAACTCAAAGGTGACAGTGGGTGGGATAACTACATACGAATGTAAATAACGTCTTCCTTTTGGAAGCTGACTCCCTCTTCTGTAAGTGAAATTAGTTTGCTTTGGTTTTGTTTTTGTAGAACGTGATCTTACATATTCTTGCCTGTATCCACAATATTGTGCTGGGAAATATTCTCCATGCTTCTTAAATGAGCATTTTAATTTCATCACCAATATGCTTCTTGTATACTGGGGGAAATGGTTGATGCAGTAAAAAGGTCATGAAGACTGTAGTAAAATAATCTGTGCAATATTGTGTTTTCCATCTCAAATCTCGAAGTCCTTTGCCATAATCAGGCAGGAATTTGTCATCAAGGTACGGCAGCGAGAGCTCAATTTTGTACATGTGAAAAATAGGCTGTAAATTGATGGGAGCTGAGCTAATATTTTTGTGTATTATTCCAGTGAGCTCTTTCCAACCCCAAGGCAGTCCTTTCCAGCATCGTCACTCCCTTGTGGGGATTTTCATCTCCTCTTACTTTTAACCCTTGGAGACCATCTGTGGATGATGAAGCATTGACTTGTAATCATGCATGATCATGAATGAGCCACTTAATTTTTTAATACGGTGAGAAGTGCCTCCCCCCAAAAAAACCGCACTGAGATGTAAGAATCAGAACCCAGCTGCTTATTTTTAAGTCCTTATAAGAAAATAAATGGGATATGGGAATATATGTAGCTTTCTTACAAAGATGAATGGTCAGCACGGATTGCTTTGGGAAGCAACAGATGACATCTTGAGCAGTGAGACGAATCTCAAACCAGTTTTGAATACTGTGATCTATTTGTGCATTACTGTTCTGATTTGGCTGTCTTTTCTCTGGAACTGATTACGACTCCATGAGATAAAAGTGAGGTAAACTCATTCCCTTTGCAGATATTTGTTGTAGAGCTTTTTGCAGAAATATCCCCATTTCAGCTCTGATGAAACTCAGTTCTATTAAAAAAGAAATGTATTCTTCAAAATCATTTAGGAGTCTCTGAAGTGTGTAAGGCACCAGTAAAGGTTGATTTTGCTCATTCTTGAGATAAATGTCTGGTTTTGTGCTTCATATTAGATTGATACTTACTATGAACAAATTAATCAAACATTTATAAAAATAATAATAAAAAATAAATTTACTTTTAAAGGAAAGTTAGCCAATACAAGGAATAGAATTGGGGTCCGTTTGAAGCTAACAATAAATTAGCAACCTCAGAATTTCATTTTCAGGGTTACTTATTCGCCCTGAAGTATTACATTGCATATTTTAGTATTTCTGTGATGGCTTTACTGTGTTAATATAGGTGAATGCATTCTTGGCAGACCTTTGATGGGTGCTAACTGTGCAGTCTCAATGGCTAGTATTAATACTCAACATGACGGATGCCGTATCCTTATAGTCCCCTTTGCCTTTACACATTGCCATCCTGTGTATTTCTCCCTGCCACGATGGGAGCCGCAGAACTGTGCATGCTGCGACTGCCAGCCCGCTGTAAGTGGCCAGCGTTTCCCAAAGGAAATGGCATTGTGTCCTCCTTATATATGTGTGTGTGTGGATATATCTCTGTATCTATGTACTTGTATCAGTAATCAATCATAAGTTTATTTGCTGTTTTACTAGTGATAATTTTAGAGAGACTATTAATATTGAAATCTATACTTGCTTTCTGGTAGTAATTTTATAGTAGCATTATATGTGTGTGTATATATACATAAGTAGACACACTTCCTTATTAGTAGTAACTTGTAATATAGCAATTTTAATAAATACCACCCCCCGCCAATGGTCTGTGCTTCTGTATTACAGAATACACTGCTGCAATCTTTACATACCCACAGGCCAGGTAACCTTTAGGTCATGACATTTATCAAACAGTAATTTTTAGTTTCATAAATAACAAGATTTCTTTTTTATTTAATATTTTTAATCAACAATAGATCTTGATCTGTTTCACCAGACAATGTAAGGCCCCTCTCTCTCCAAAATACTTTGTGCCCTTTAAAGGCACCCTTTAAAGTTGGCTTTGCCTTAATAAAGTACCTTCTTCCATTCACCTCTATATAATGTTACCCTCTTTCTTTATTCTGCTATGGAAATATTTGAAGTTTTCTGCACAATTTGAATTACCTTGTTATGTGTCTAGTAGGTATATGGTGTCTAAGCTTATTTCAGAGTCTTCAAAGTTTGATTTTTCTTGTTGGTGTGTCGTTTCTAGCATGGCTAGACTGGAGTCATTCTTGCTTTGAGGTGTGTTGTGGGTATAGTGGTGTAGATCTACACGTGGATACATAGGGCTGACAGAACTGTGTTTTAGAGTGTATATATTATGTAGGAGAAGTTTCTATTTGTGAAGGTGGTTTTGCTTTGTGGTGAGTACCTCTGGATTCCCTCTGCAGGAGGTAGGGTTGTATAATCTCTTTTGAGATTAATTGGCGTTATTAATTTTTGCAAGCGTTTGAGGCCCAGTTTGGTATCAAAAATATATATATATTTTGGGGCATCTACCACCTCTCTGGGCAGCCTGTCCCTATACATATCTCTCTCTCTCTCTCTCTCAAATATTTGGACATAAAAATGCAGATAGGACAAGGATTTTAAACTAAAGAGTGTAGATTCAGACTGGATATAAGGAAGAAATTTTTTACAATGAGGGTGGTAAAAGACTGGGGTGGGTTGCCCAGAGAGGTGGTAGATGCCTCATCCCTGGAAACATTCAAGGTCAGGTTGGATGGGGCTCTGAGCAACCTGATCTAGTTGAAGATGTCCCTGCCCATTGCAGGGGGGTTGGACTAGATGACCTTTAAAGGTCCCTTCCAGCCCAAACTATTCTATGATTCTATGAGATAGCTGTAAGACGGGTAAGAGCCAGTAAGTGCTGACCTTCCCTCTTGCCACGTACAGACCCACAGAGAGCAAGTCAGTGATGACCTGGGGGCTGGTGTAGCAGGATCCCTTAACCATCCACTTCCCAATTTGGGGTGAGAGGAGGCTTTTTAGTGACTGATAACATTTGAAATTCTCACTTTTCTGTCTTGCACTTTTTGTTGCAGCCTAAATGGTGGTCGCAGGCACGATAACCCCACGTTCCCCGCCATGCGTGTACTCTGCTTCTTTTCGTGGCACCACTTTTGTGCGTGCACGAGGTGGTGGGGCCGTCTTAAATTCCTTCCCTTCTCCTGGCTCTTGTTCCTCAGATGTCCTTTGAAACCCTGAGACTGGCCCTGTGCTGCTTTCTTTCCATTCAACCTTTGCTTTTAAATTCCCCTCCCATGTCTCCTCCTGTTGCAGTATTGGTAAGCAGATAAAGCAGACTTGCTCTCATATGATGAAATGTTCAAAAAGGAAAGGTACGCTGAGATGGGAATTAAATAATGGCCATGGGTCAAAGTAATTTTCCTTTTGATAATAGCTGTGTTATTCATGGATGAGTGTTCTCGGGGATTAGTTTCTCAGTGAAAATGAGCAAAATTACTCCGTGGTTTTCATGTGTGGTGTTAAAGACTGAAATCTTTTCCTTTTTTAACATAAAAATTGGAGAAAATTTCACCTGAAAGTGTAATACATGAAACAAAGTTCACACTGAGCTTAGTGTACTAGTATTTCCTGACTGTACAGATATTCCTCTAAGAAAACTCAAGCGTTGAAAGCTTATATATGCAAAGGTGGTTTTTAACCTTTTTCTGTGTTTATTCACTCTCCTTCATAATACATTTAATTGGTTTTCAAGTTGTAGGACTCCTGGTGGTTTTTTTCACAGTATAATCGAATACATTTTAAAACGTAAGTCTGAAAGAACTTACTTTCCCTTTTAAGATGGTCTTTTTTTTTCTTTCTTTCTCACAGATGGGAAGGTTGAAGTGACAAAAGAAGGCGTGAAGCTGTGCACCATGGGACCTGGCAAAGTCTTTGGGGAGTTAGCCATCCTCTACAACTGCACCCGAACAGCAACTGTCAAAAGTAAGATCATTTGTGAACTTTGATATTGCCTTGGGATTTGATTGGGAAGTAGGGTTCTTCTCATCTCTTCTTTGGAGCTGCAGCCTCTGTTAGATGTTCCGCTTTCTTAATTAATTAAACTCTTTATGGCATGGATTATAGTATAGAATTTAGCCACTGTGAGCAGGAAGAAGACGGAAAAGAAGTGCTTCACTGGATTGTTTGGCTCAGGTTTGTTCGTGGAGGGAAATCTCCTATATTAATAGAGCAGTTGATGCTACCTTATATATATGAGCCTGTAGCTAATACCATAGCTTTTCTTATGATTCCTGCTGAATCTCATGATATGGGCGTTGCTTAGAAGACCATATCTGACCCTTGTTAAGTGTAAGTCTTCAAGGGGAACTCTGTAAGTAAAGCTTATGTATTTTTTCAGGACAAGTCATTGTTTTCCCCCTAAACTGACTAAACAAAATGGGGGAAAAAAACCTGGATGGCACTGATCTCCTGCTCTAAGTATTTGGCGCTTCTCCTGTAATCTGGTTTCTTTTATGAATGTTTTGGAGAAAAGCCTGGGTTGTACAATAAGTAGAGGGAAATCACATTGCTATGTACAACATAAATATGTTTTTATTTAAATTCAGATTAATAGTTGAGATTTAGAGTACATGATATCACAGTCCTTCTTGATCTTGAGGGATAAGAGTTTATGGTGACATCGTAAACAGAGAGATTTTATAGGAGATGATAAATAGTTCTGTGGTATAAGATGCTGTGGGGGAGAAGTTAGAAGGGTACAGATGGGATAGAATAATACAAAGACAAACAAGTGGTACCAATATAATGAGGTACATGAGTCCCTGTTCAGAAGAAAGCCTTTTACAAATACCTAATTTTGCTTCAAAAAGAGAGAGAACAAATGGGCAGAAATGACAAAACAGGAAAAGATAACTAGATTTTTTGTGAAGAACATGCTTTTCTCCATAATGCTAAAGAATGTGACTGATGTACTCTATTTTTACCTGCACAAACCTTGCCTTTTTACCAGTACTGTTTATTGCAGGTAGATCCTTGGCTACAACATAGTCATAGAATCATAGAATCATAGAATCATAGAATCATAGAATCATAGAATCATAGAATGCTTTGGGATGGAAGGGACCTTTAAAGGTCATCTAGTCCAACCCCCCTGCAATGGGCAGGGACATCTTCAACTAGATCAGGTTGCTCAGAGCCCCATCCAACCTGACCTTGAATGTTTCCAAGGATGAGGCATCTACCACCCCTCTGGGCAACCTGTTCCAGTGTTCCACCACCCTCATTGTAAAAAATTTCTTCCTTATAGCTAGTGTGAATCTACACTCTTTAGTTTAAAACCATTACCACTTGTCCTATCACTACTGGCCCTGCTAAAATGTCTGTCCCCATCTTTCTTGTAGGCCCCCTTTAAGTACCGAAAGGCTGCAATAAGGTCTCCGCGCAGCCTTTTCTTTTCCAGGCTGAACAACCCCAGCTCTTTCAGCCTTTCCTCACAGGAGGGGTGTTCCATCCCTCTGATCATTTTTGTGGCCCTCCTCTGGACCTGTTCCAACAGGTCCATGTCCTTCCTGTGCTGAGGACTTCAGAGCTGGATGCAGTGCTCCAGGTGGGGTCTCACCAGAGCAGAGTAGAGGGGCAGAATCACCTCCCTCGACCTGCTGGCCACGCTTCTTTTGATGCAGCCCAGGATATGGTTGGCTTTCTGGGCTGCGAGAAAGTCAGTTCATCAGTGACACAGCTTATGCTTCGGAGTAGTCCAAATGATTAGTAAATGCTTCGGAGTAATCCCAAATGATATAGCAAATGTGCATATTGCACAAGTTGCACCCAGCCCCACAGAGACAGCCCCAGCCCCAGAGACCTCCAGGCTGCTTCAGACAGTGTGTTGTGCTGCTCTTCTATAAGATGCTCTATCTCCTTCCCCCTAGTCCACCAAGGAGAATATGAGCATGAATGGGAAGCGGGTCTTGATCCACCCTCTCCTCCCCATACCTTCCTGCCCTGTAGTTGCATTATCCATGTAGCCGTACAGCCTGTTTTTCTGTCCACTTAAAGGTTTGGGGGATTGGTGGTGGCGATGAATTCAGATAAGCTGCAGGCTTATGTGATAATACAGTTATATAAAGTTGGAAAGAGGGGGACATGGTCGAATCTTAGAAAAGGAAATGAGTGGATGGTTATTGTTTAGTTCCTCTTAGAAATGCAGTGCTAAAAAGGTCCTGATCCAATGGTACCAGGAGCACTACATCATGTAATCCTGCATAGTCACACTGTTCTTGTGTTGTGTCCATTTCAACCTGTTTGTACAAGTGACTCCAATAGGAAATAATACTGGCAGCAGTTTTTACTATCAGTTTTGCTATTACTTGCTTTTTCATCTACTAAGTCTCTTCTCTTGAGCAAACTTCCAGATTGCCACTTGGCACTTAATTTTACCGAATCCTTTTTTCCTGGTTAAATTGGGGGCAGTAGTAAGGTCACTGCTGTAATCGTCCTCAGAGAGATCTTTCTTCAAGAAAGAGGCGTCTTCATTCGTTGTTATACTCTGTTCCTTTCCCACCGGCATCGTAAAATTATGATAATTATGCATCTTCTTCTGCTGGCAGCTATCGGGCATGTAATCTTGTTTCCAGCACCAGCAAGTGACTTTTAGGTATTTTCTCTCTCATGACTGCACAAGTAAGTAGCAGTTGTGATTGTAATTGGTTTTATATCCTTTCAAGTGCAGTGGCACGCAAGGTCACAGCTTGACTTTGGGGAACCGTTTCAGCTAGACCTAACTGAACAGAGGTCTGGGAGGTGTGCGGATCAATTTAGGGCACATTACTGACTTCAATAGTTGCCGCTGCTGCTAATGGACAGCTTCAAACATCTGTTTGTTCTTTTGACTAAATGATAAATAAATGTTATAAATCTCTAGAAAGGTGAATGCTAGTAAATATTCCATTAAGTCTGATGACAACTTTGATCATTACAAGGTTTATTTCAGAAGAAATGAACAGTTGATAATTGTAATGAGAATAGACACCCAGTCAATATTGATGCTGGAGATGGTGAAGATATGTCAAGGGGCTTCATCCAACTTTCATTTAGAGAAACACTTTAAGCCAGGGCTCCCCAATTTTCAGGAGATAGATTTCCATTACCTCCAGAGTGTCAGAAGTGGTTTTTGATGTGCCTGCCAGTACTTCATTACAAGGACGTTAAGTATTTCTTTTTGAAAAATGAAGTTGCGGCAAAGACGCAATGAAGGATGCATTATGATAGTGTGAAGCTCAACAGTGCCTTTGGGCTGTAATGATGTGTCAGCTGTGTTGACATCTCTTGCTGTAACTCGTTTGTATGTGTGCTCTTGCTTTGGCCTTGTAAATAATAAAGTTTTTAGTGTCATTACTCGCTGCATTAGTCTACACGGGCACTTCAGCTGGTGCTCACTCTGTAGGAGATTGCAAACTCAGCATGTGATCCAAATATTAAAAATATGCTGGGTTTTGTTGTTGTTTTTGTTTACCTCTGCTCTGGCTGACTACTTTCTCCCTGTAACTCGCTGCCACCTATGTAGGTTAATAACAGGCTGAAATCTCTGCCTTGGTTGCCTATTAGCACCAAGGCAAACGTCGGTGCACAAGTGACTTGCTGCGGTTGGGAGCCTGCTGCCCTTCTCTTCCAGTCCGTGGGTATAGCGTTAGTGCAAGAGTCTAGTGACAGTAAAGGAGGCTGGACAAGAGATGTGCAGGTGCACCTTGGCTCTACCCACACCACCCAGCTCAATATTAGACTCCGTTAATTAGGAATCTTTCCTGTACACCAAGAAAAGATTTTGTCTTGCTCATTGACAAGCAAACAGGATTTCCAAGTGTGTTATCGCAGGAGTCTGAAAGAAGCAAAAATGTATTAAAATTCAAATGTGGTTTTGTTTATTAGTAACATGGGTGATAGAAGGAACTATGAGATGTCAGAAAAAAACCAAAAAGGACAAAAAAGACCCCAGTTGAATTCAGTTTGTGTATAAAACTTTGTAATTCTTCATTTGATAGCACAACAGATCTTCATAGTATGTGGAAATTTATTTGCTGTTAATATTGTGCAGTAGTTCTCATTCCTCTTAAAGAATAATCTGATGAACAGAGTTAAGTAGTATTTTTGCAGGCAGTTTTGGGGAGCACTGATTTTGTGAAAGGAATGAATTCTTCATGCACTAGGGATATTGTATTTATTTGAGAGGTGGCCTTAGCATCTGAAATTATATTCTCTTGGGGGCAAAATTCTAATAAAAACTTCCCACAAAAACATCTTGATGCAAGGCTGCGGGTTTCAGTGGAGTTATGCTCAACACCAGTCCATGTTTTTAAGAAAACAATATTAGTGAAAAAAAGAAGGCACAAGCTGAAGTTGTTAAACTGTAAATTATGTAAACCTTTTTTTTAGTGAAACTAAGGGTGTCCCCTCAAAAGCCAGCACAAGAGTTTCTCAAGCTTCTCTGCTTATCAGCAATGCTAATGGTACAAAACTCAGTGCCGCATAGCGTGATTAAGGCAGTATTTTTTCAATTTGATGCCAAGCTTGGTTGAGTTTGAATTTTCAACTACTGTTTTTTTTTTTTTAATGGAGTCCTATGGAAATAATTCCCTAGCTTGCTAGCTGCAGCTCCAGAAATTACCCTAACTTTACAAGGAGCTTGGTAACGTGGATAATTTGCAATATAAATAAAGCAACAGTCAGTTGCCAATTAAAACTGCAGAGACTCATTAAAAGCCTTTGAGAAGGATGTTGCGTTCATATGTTCTCTTTAGCAATTATGGGAGCTCAGGTAAAGTTTGTTCAGCTCTTCTTAAAACAATCACATATGTCAGAAAGAAGTTGACTTTAGATACTCAGCCATTTGATTAAAAACTTTCTGATATTACTTATAGGTATGAAACCCAGGTTGGCCAAGCCAGAGATGATCAGGTCGCAGATAAGTCTGGTGTGCCTAGTAGGGG